ATACACACATACTAGTACCTAGTGGCAATACTTTTAGAGAGACCGACCAACAAATTAACAGTAGCAGTAGTTGTAACGGCAACATCGCTTTGTTTCTCGCCTGTTCACAAACACCCATACATACAGCAAACTGTTACAAGGTCCATAAGGCTTTGTTTAGTGTTAGCTATACGAGTATAGCAGATATATGTACATACTATATACTGATGCATATAGCTACAGCTTTGACCAGCCGTCTTTATTGTTGCCCGCACTCAACGCGTCGTATTCTTTGTTTTGTGGCCCAACTAATTTTAAGTCTTCTGTTTACACAATCTACCAAAAATAGTTACAAATTTAAATATTGATTTTATTTGGCAGCCTCGCTTTGCGCTCTGCTCCACATTAAAGCATTTTACTCTGCAAATATTTGCCACAATACGAAAAGGTGCAAATAATTTTCATCGTTTTGTGGGCATTTTCTGCTGGTAAGTATCTAAGATTGTGTTCTTTGGCAAACAAGTAACGCATATTTTAGTCAGTTTGTTTGAGCAGATCCTGGCCGAATGGACATTCTGGCCACAGTGGCAGTCTAGTTACAATTTACATACATCTACAATTGTGCATAATTTGCGTATCTAATGAAAATTTCTGTGAAATTTCCAAAGGCAAATACAACGAAAGTTTGCGTATGTCGAAGAGTAAAATACACACAAGTATTTGGACATCGATTGCGTTAAAACACAAACAAAATATTGCCTAGTCAGGCAGCATTATATAACATGACTATTTGGATTACCATTCAATTTGTAAAACAACTTATTTACTATGCCATTAATCTTATCGCCTTTTAGTTAAACAAAAAGCCATCTAATCGAGCAAATCTTATCGCCATTGTCACAAGGCACTTAAACAAAGTCCACTTCAAAAGTGAAAGATTTATTGTTAAGCAATCAGACGGCATGATTATTAAAAGTCAGCTATGAACGAATTACAAACTCGACACGGCCAGTATCTGATTGACTGTTTTTTGTTTTACAATCTACATACAAGTATATGTTAATATGTGAAGGATAACCTTACAATATTTGTGATGTGAGAAAGTAATGAATGTTTTTTGCATTAATATATTTTTTGAATTTTTTGAAAATTATAAATGAAGAATGAATTACCAAAGCAGCACTTGATTTAATTCATTGCCGTGGCCACTGAATGAAGAAAATATTATGTGAAACCATTGGAGAATAATATTGAAGGGGAGGGGGGAACAACCTCACCCTCGCTTTGGCTTCAAATGGGGGCATATTAAACAAAAACCTTGCATAGTCCGTACAAATCTAGTTACGAATAAAATAATGAGTCTGGCTATTTGCCAAGCTGCGTTCTGTTATTTTCATTTTAAATGGAAATTTGTTTTACATAAAATTAATTACCAGATTTGTTTGAGGGATGCGAAAAAGTTAATACAGCCAAGAAAATGCTTAAACTGGCTTTAAATCTATTTGGAGTAACTTTTAAAGATCTTTCATTGAAATTGGAAATATAAGTTTGTAAAGATATTTGACAACAGCTTTACAACAATTAATTATCTTGTGCTAAATTTCTTAGTCGTCATAACTTATGTTTAAATATATTTGAAGAGTTTTAAACAAAACAAGTTTACTTAAATATATACAATCGAGCTGCTGTTACATTTTCTTAATTTATATTGAATTGAAAAATTGTTTGTGTTCTAAGAACAAGTAATAAGGTCATTTAGTTTATCGTTTTAGGAGATTAGCTTATCAATTTATTTGTTAAAACAGATGCATATTGCGCTTATTACTTAAAAAAAGCTGCATATAGTATAATAGCAGCAACACAATCCAACACATCTATTACAAAATATTAAAAAGTGCACGATTATCTTTTGTTCATTCATGGAAGTGTCTATTAATAAGTATGATGAGTTGGGGATTTTTTTTTGCTTTCGAGTATATGGAGAATCATAAATTTCCCCATAGTTGCGGGGTTGTTGTGTTGCAAAATATTAGAATTATGGAGCCACGCTCTACACTAAGCGCTTTCAGTCGTCTTCGTACTCGAGAAACTAACAAAAACTGTGACGCTCACTAAAATTTATACAACCCCTCCGATTAGATAAGGCACGCTCCCCTTTGGGCCATAAACGTGAAGATTTGATTAAATTAATAGCACCGTCAACTCTGATGCATTGAAGATTCTGAGACAAGTGCTTAAAAATTTGGCGGAGTTTAAAACTAAACAAAGGCGGATGCTCCTGGTCTAGAGTTGGATGCTGAGCAGGAAGGCTACACCAGCGGGAATAAGAACTCTTTATTTTGTTGAAGCAAAATTACGGTAATTGTAAGCGTAATCAAATAAATTAGACGAGTACGTGCAAGTGCGTTATTTTCAGCACATTAAGTGCTGTTATTGTTGCCACTGGTAAACAGACAGACAGACTGATGGACTGATGGACTGATGGACTGGGTGACTGCATGAATGAATGAGTGGGCAGAGACTCTAAACTGAATGAATGAATCAACTCGACGCGTTGTAATAAAAGCAGCAGATCTCTCTGTCGCTTTTTCAACATTAAGACAATCATTTTAATTGAAGTGCCACTTTGTGAGTGTGCAAGTGTGTGCTTGCGTGTGTGGGTGTGTGTGTATACAGTCCCATTTACAGTTACATACACTTATAAGTACATACATATATGTATTTATTCACATCCACGTTCACATCTCGTCTCGTCGCGCATTCTTAATGGCATTGCGATTCTGGCTGGGCAAGTGGTCCGGCATTGGGTTACTCTAAGCGCTTAATAAAAAGTTTGTTTGCCGCTTAAAATTGTTTTAGTTTTATTTTATTTTATGTTTTTTTTTGTTGCCATCTTTTGGGATTTCTCTGTCATTCCACTGGGTTTGCTGCACAAAATGCACTCAAATGTTGTCGCATTTTAGTTTTAAATCGCTCGAGTTTTTTTTTACAATTCTGATGTAACAGCTGGCAGAGATCGCTCGACAAGCTTGCTAATGCGAATGAGAGCTTTGCGTTACACCACACAAGTCAGAATAAAGTGACTTGCACACTCTTTAAAGCATTACCCAGCATCTGGGCTATGAATAGTATTCAAAATCTGGAGTATAAGGCAGACCCCAATAACTGCGCATATTTTTGATTGGCAAGACATTTATTAGTCTCTCTTCAATATGTTTGTGGCATGTTTGATTGCTGTCTCTATGAACGCTAGCACTTTGTAAGCTTTTATGACGCTTCTGCCATCCAGCAGATGCAAATTTGATTGCCAGTGGCAAAAAGCAAAGGAGAAGAGCAAACCAAGTTAGCCACACACTGATGATTATTGGCAGCCATCATATATTTCTTGAAAACTTTCGCATGTCGAAGAAATCTTACCATCAACCAATTAGCTTCACATCTTAAGAAGCAGCAGCATTGCATTACAACAGTGCCTTGTGTGCTCAGTATAGAGTTTTGGGAGACAACAGTAGGGTGCAGAACTATTTTCATTTGTTCAAAACATACTTTTGCAATTAGGCAGCACATTTATAAGCTAAGGAATTTGAAAAATATCTCCTTTCTACTCCACTCTTGGCAATTTGACTTTTTACATCGAAATAGTTGTTCCTTGTTTTCAAAACTTTTTCCTACTTTCGATGCTGAATTTTATAAAGGTGTATTATATTGTTCTGTATTGTTTTTCCACTCAGCAGAACAACTTATTTTAATCTGCTCTGCCAATATTTAAATTGAACATTGAAATTGGTAAACATTAAAAGTAAATGAACAGCTGTTCGATTGGGTGAATGGCATTCCATGCCGAGTAGAGAGTTGCAATAAAAAGTGACCACACTTTAGAATATTCTCGTTTTTTAGTCGTTGATATAACTTCCAATTCCAATTCCTTTCTTAGGGATCTCCCATCCATAAAAATAAGGATATTATTTGGCATTAAAGGCTTAATTTAATTGTCAACATCCGTTCTATTTGGTTTTATTTTTAAAATCCTTAACTAGTATGATAGTTTTCTCATGTTTTCAAATATTTTAATATAAATCTATTGATGTCTTTGTTGATTTAGCTAATTGTGTTTGAAACCCACGCATTGGGGTTTTTATGGCCATGTAAAGCCATAAAATTGAAAAAAAAGATATTTATTTATTTATTTTAAAAATGTATTTTTAAATTTTCTAGGGTGTACGGATAGGGTACAGGTCTGGTTACAGTGCAACACCATTTGAAGTAAGGAAATTATTTCATTTCTTTTGAGATTAAAATATTTAAGTTAAAGTTTCATTATTCAAGTGGTTGAGAGAAAAAACTCCGATATGAGCTACTTTGGATTGAAAGTTCCAGTATATAGTCTCTTCTCTAAGCCGCACAAGTTTCTAATAGTTTAAGCAGTATTTCTCAAACCAATTGTATTTAGAATATACACATTCAATGGAATATTCTCATAGCGAAATGAAATGTCAAAACTTTGTCGACAGCCGACAGATGAGCTGGAAAAAAGTAGCTGTGCTGCCAGATAAGCGATGAAGCCGATGATTTATAAATCAATGATTAACTTTTCTTGAAAAGAAGAAGTAATTTATTAATTCATAGGCACAGTCTGTGTTTGACTGTGACTTTTAGATTTAAGCAAACATTTTATTGACTCTGAACATAAATATAAATTCCAATACTCGTATATATCTATAATGCGTTGTGTGCATGTTGTCGACAGATATTGCATAAAAGCGTATTTATTTGATCGAAAATAAATGAAGAACAGCACAATTAACATTATTTGCAAAGCGTGATAAATTTAATTTAAACAACAGTGCAACAAGTGCCATTCGAGTTTGTGCATTATACGCTTATTTTGGCAAACCGCGAAGCGCTTTTCATGTCCACCACAGATATTTCAATTACCACAGAAGCCGCAGCACAAAATCGGCATAATTAAATAGCTGTATTAATGAAATGTTTTTGTCTATATACCAGGCATATGTACTTACCATGTGAAGCTTCTTCATTTACATATGTCCGTGGATATTTGCATAAACTGCACGTTTTTCAGTTGTATTTTCACACCCGGCCGTGGCAATCGCTTTAAAGAAATATTGATATTGTGTTAATTCCACTAATTATTTGCTTGTTTTGTTTTGTTTTTTGAAGTATTTATTCGCGTATTTAAAATAATAATAATCGATTGAATGCATGTTTTCAGTAATTATTTATACGTGAATAATTTAATTAGCTAATAAGTTGTTGAAAGCACATACATATTGTTTTTATACCCTGCTGTCGGGTACTCTGGTAAAAAGGGTACTTATATTAGGTGAAAAATATGTAACAGACAGAAGGTAGCATTTCCGAGATCATAAAGTAGTATGTATATATATTCCTAGTCAGCATGACGACACAAATGTAATTAGAAGTAATATGTCCATTTGTCTGGATGTATGCCTGCATTTCGGAAGCAACCGACCTCAAACTTGGTATGTACAACACGAGTTTAATAGCTTTTGTTTCTCCGACTACAGAATTTATCTATTTTTTTTTTCAATTTTTATCCACATCGATAAATGTTAAGAACATTTATTGGGGAAGCAATTTTTTTTCTGTTCGCTTTTTACTTTGAAACGGCAGAATTGTTTGGGTATAGAGTATATATATATACAGTCTGGTTTGTTCTACCGTTAAATTCTCTCTTTTTTTTATCACAATTATCTAACAAGCTAGTTAATTAATTTGCAACAAATTTTGGTATACTTTAAAAGCGAGCGGGCAAGCGGGAGTTAACAGAGGATTAAGATAAATATTGTAAAAAACGGCAATGGATTTTAACCAAAAGTTTTAAACATTTGTATTTGACTTGGCAACAACTGCAAAATTAATAAGGAATAGTTAATAACAGAATTATAATTATGTTCAAAGACATTCAACATAATTTGCTAAAAAATAATATGTATATTAGCAAATTAATATTTTATTATTAAATTTTTACTGTAAATTGTTTCCGGCTGTGCTGAATAATCAAATGTATACTGAAAATACATTGATTGAAAATACAATCTGCCATCACCTGACGACTGAATGCTGATGAATGTTGTATAACCACTCCAAATTTTGATGAAACCATATTTAATAATAATACTAAATAAAATTAGCGCTGATTGTCATTTAGTTTATTTTGCCCAAAACTTTATCGATCGTAAATGTATTTAGCTGTGCTATAGAGTGCTACATTAAATTATTCATTATTCATTTATTATGTGCATTGTTAACCAAATGCATTTGTTTAGCAATTTACAAAGCGCGGATTTTGTTGTATCTTAAATTCAATTCAGAAACTGCTCGGCTTTATTTATCAATTGAGCGCCGTATCAGTAATGCCATCATCTTTACTCTCTTGAACACACAGTACTATCACTGTACAAGATTATGCCACAATGTGTTCTACACATATGTATGCTGGTTTCCCATAACATTTGAATAGGACTGGTTGCAACGCCCCCATGCCCGCACCCCCGCCGCTTTTCAAGGCTTCTGCTTCAACACGTCGTCGCATTAACACAACGTCAAGTTGTTTAGCATATAATTTAAATATCAAGTGGGCGGAGGCGTGAGGTTATGGACTGGCCATTGAACATATGCCACATTGAAGTGTGTGCATATTTTACCATTTGACCCGTGCTCGTCCTCGTTGTTACTCTTGTAGCTTTCAATGTTAATTATACCCTCATTACGCAGCCTTGTATACATAAGTCATGAAAGCGAGTCTGCTATACCCGTACACAACACAAGAGAAAACCTCCTGACTTACATGCGAAAAAAATGAGAAACATTTGCTCATTTACTTGCAACATTTTATTATAAATATGAAAATTAATCACTCAGCAAAACAGCGACCCCCCTTTTGGTCAGGCTCAGCCAAAAAGAGAAAACATTGGAGCTTACAAAAACTAATTTATATGCCATTTTAATGGCAACATAATTAGCTCATTTACAGCCCGCGTATGCTCGTTATGGAATGTATATTCGTGTGTGTGTATGTGTGTATGCGTGTGAGTACATAGGCACATCACTTGAATAGGTACAATAACACTTTGAAAGAAACCTCTCAAATGTCTCTAGTAAAGAAATTGTTAGTATACAAAAACCAAAGTGGAATTCAAAAATAATTGCAAAAATGTTGTTTTTTATTCAACATTAAGAAATAAAAATAAGAACAATGATCTTTACTTCATTAAAATTTAATTTAATAGCATGTTGTAGAAGATTGGAAATAGTTGAAAATATATTTTGATAGCTGCATGAGTATAGAATCAAGACTCACACATTTGTTATGTAAAAGAAAACATAAAGTAATAGGCCATAGGATAATTACAGAAACATTAGACACATTAGAAACATTAGAAGCATTAGTAGTTGGGATTTTTAACAACTCTGTGGAAACTTTGTGGTGTAATGTAGTTTAATGTTAAAGCTATGCTTGTAATGTAGTTAAAAGTTAACTGGGCCAACAGAGTACGTATGTTCTATATGTTCTGTTTGTTCAACTTAAAATTGTTTGATATTTGCTAGAAAACCGAAAAGTTTAAATAGTTGTAAAAATAGTTATTGTTTGCCTTAAATTTGTATCGCTTGCCACAAAACGTTCATTCATAACCAATTCTTGTTGCCATTTGTATCAACACATCGCTGTAAGATAACATAATGTTATTTGGCTGCGTCTGCTACGCTCTCTGGCTCTCACCAGCACAATGTAACTTGACAGCGCTCTTTTGCTCTCATTGCAGCGGCTGATCTGCAAATGCAGGTGTTGTGAGCAGAGCTTTCTATCGACTCGCCTAATTAGTTGTTGTTGCTCTGTTACGAGTAGCTCCACACAGTCAATTCGATCTTTTGTTTTTGTTGCAAAGTTTGCAAATGACAGTTGATAATGAACTTTAGAATGTTGTTGTGTTCTTGAAGGCCAACTTTTTTCATGGCTGGTTAAGGGCTTGACCAGAGATTACAAAACAGGGACAACAGTTACTATTTCCTTAGACATAAGAGACTAAGAAAATTTTGAACATAAGTACACACAATGTACATCAATTCTCTTCAGCAGTTCTAAACTCATTATTTTAGTAATACAGATAATCGTGGCTGTCAGAAATTGTATTTAAATTTATTTAATTTTTGTAGTTAAAAAATTCTCCCAAGTTGATAATAAACTTTAGAATGTTGTTGTGTTGTTGCAGGGCAACTTTTTTCATGGCTGGATAAGGGCTTGACTATAGATTAGAAAACAGGTCAAACAGTTACTATTTCCTTAGGCATAAGAGACTAAGACTTTTTAACAGACAAACATCAATTCTCTTAAGCGGTTCAAAACTCATTTATTTATTTAACTAATACAGGTAATAGTCAGAAATTGTATTTAAATTTATTTAGTTTTTGAGTTACAAATTTTTTCCCATTTCTTGTGCGCTTAAATAATTTCTTAAACTATGATATCACCTTTTGAAATATCTTCATCGAAGTGAAAATTTCGGTACCAAAACTAAAAGAAAGTGGTATAGTTTTTCAACTGTTTTCAATAAAAACAATTTATTTATTATGAAAATTCACTTTAAGTGAATTTCATTATATGCTGCACCCAAAGGCTATAGTATTACTTTTTCATTTTCCATTTATCATTTTTTTATGAAAGGAATTGTACCTATTTGAGTGCGCGGCAGTGTGCGTGTGCACACAAGGCACACCTTTTCCTTTTCCGACATCCTTTTGTTTGGTCGTGCCGCCTGGGCGTCATGTCAAAGTTAAACATGGGCGACTGTTAAATAAAAAGCACACAACAGCAAATAAACAGCGGACCCTTGAAAGGCCTCTGAAAGCCTCCTTTTGGTTTACTTGGTTTTTGGCTTTTAATGCGAGGTGCCTTTTTCATTTAACGCTCGAAACATTTCGCGCATACTAAATTAGGCAATGAAATTTGCTCGGCGTTCACCTTTGAATGGTGGAAACTATGTCAGGACCCAGATAGCAGCACACATTGCGGCAATTTTGTCAAATCAGCCTTGAAAGTCATTTTTGTGCCAGGCACTGGCACTCCAAACTAAATGTTCAATTGGCCATAGAGACAAACGGATAGCCAGACAGACAGGCACAGACAGCGAAAAATGTTGGTTTTATTTTCATTTGCCTGCCAAACGGGGCCACTTGAATGCGCAATGAAGTTTCTGATTTTGTAGTGCCATAAAGCAACAATAACTGCAGCAGCAATAACAACAGATTTGCATGAATTTAACAAATTTTAAATCATGCTATTTGCTGTGGCTTCAAATTCAAAAGGCTATCGTTGAAAAACGCATTCATTTGTGGCTTTTTCGTTATGAGCGCCAATATGACTCAGAAGTTGACATTTCTGTCAGCGTTCATTTTCGTCTGTTGGCATTATTTGATCAGAGCATAATTATGAAAATGTAATTATGAAATTTAATTTCGCATTGTAGCTGTCGCTTTTTTAACTACACTAATTGCGTACAGTTTTTCTTGTGACCAATATACGAGTAATTGTATTCATTTGTGGGAAAAAGATACTGAGAATGGAAACAATTAACTTACAATTAAGCTATGTAATGACGAAGGCTTTACAATAAAGTTATAAGTTATAGCGTGAAAAGCTATCACTATTATATAAGAACGTAAAACAAAATACCTAAATACATAATACCAATTAGGAAATGTTGAGCATATAAATAAAATTAATTAGAATTACTATATGCATAAGAAAATTGGAGAGGTTTTTTTCATGTCAATGCCTCTTCACAAACATAGCTGATTGAAGTTACGTTTGATGTTACTATTTCGCGATTCATTCCAATAGAAAAGGAAGAAATAATTGAAAAACAAAAAAAGTGGTTTCTTTTATAATGACAGCAAAATAGTAGGTTTCGATAATGGCGTATCAGTTCTTGTTCTTGTTTATAGAGAAAAGAGAGTCGATTTCAAAATACTGCTCTATCTCTCTTATATATAGTAGAATACATCATAAACAAATGTAAAAGTCAATGTGCGTTAAGAAAATTAAATTTCTATATTTGAATCAAATCTTCT